ACAGAAAAACTTATATATATATTTCAAGCTTACAGTAATAACTACATACATAGAAACAAATTTTAAAGTATTCATATAATAAATATAGCATCATCATGGATATGTTAAGTGATTTTTAAACACTATTTGCTTTTTCAAATCTATTTCTTAAACAACTAATGTAGTCAACTAATATATTTTCGAAGAGAAATTAGAAAATTGTATATTAAGTAATTAAAATCAATTTAAATTCTTCTATTAACAATTCTGATATAATACTGCCTAATACTTTAAAAATTCAGAAAGTATGTTTGCGTATTTAATTATATTACAACTGATTAAACCAAAAAATCCAATTAGAAAATGTGTAGCTTTGTGTCAGATAAGATTATCTTCAATAACACCATATATGTATTGTATGTATAATGATACAATCGATCATTTGATTAGGATATTGATATTAAATATCATATCAGATAAACACGTAAGACAGATAAGTTCTATACCCACAACATTTTTAATACACATTGCATACGGCAGTCTGCTCGCTTAACGTACTTCCAGTTCCCCGCACATTTCTGAGCGTTCCAAACAAATTTTGTACAATGCATATATGCACTTTTTGAATAAAAAACTATTTCCCCACAAATTAAAACACGGATTTTCAAATAACAAAGTGTGGTGCAACAATAAAACACTTTATAAGGTATGATATACGATCGACATAGACCTACTGGTGTAATGGCAATACTGACCGATTTTTATCTACTCTTTCGAAATTTTGACATACATTTATTTCACTAATCATTTGTGATAAGAATATGCAAGACTTTGTTGCCTTGGTAATGTAACAAGAAAATCAATTTAGTTTTAATTTCGTGAGTCGTCGATACGAGCGCATTAAAAAACAATAAAACGAAATATGCTGTAACTCGGCCGCAAAGTTCGGTTTGCTATATACGAGATATCTCGAAAAGCAATAAAATTTCGGATTCAATGTACGAAAAAATGGTTGTTATAACTATTTATATTTTTTAAATAAGTGTAAGTAATTAAATGTGGGAAAGGAATAATACAAGAATAGAAACTATTATATCAGCACATTGTTTAGAAATAAATATATTTACACAATTTTTGTAACAAATAAAATATATTGCAATAAATAAAACTAAGTTCATAGTATCGGGTAAAGACCGATGGTCTTTCCGGTACTAAAAAGGATGATGACTGCTCCTCAGAAGTTGCTATTTGTAATAATACAAAATAGTCTCACTTATACGAAGTAAATCAAACTAAACAATTCAAAACCTCCTGGGTAATTCTCTAATGGAAGTCATTTTTATTAGTTTTTAAACGAAGTTTACTCATTATTGCACTTTATACTATTCTAGATCAATGAAATATAGAAACAATAAATATAATGAAAATATAGAGAAAGATACACAATACTTATGGTTGTAAGCAACATTCTTAAGAACGAAATTGTACATAAAACGACTTACTTGCAAACAAATTCTGGCATGAAAAATGATTTCTATAATTTATATTAGTTATAAATAATTAACAATTATCGTAATAATGAGTTATTTTAAAATTTGTTCTTCCAAACATTTTTATTATATAACTGTAAACTGTCTAATATTCTATTGAATCTGTTTTAACTAATATTTATATAAATTTGAATTATATTATGGAAGATTGGTTAAAGAGATATTACACAGATTTTACACAGAAATGAATTTAATAAACATTATTTAATCATTCTTTTCAAGAGCCAAGAATTCATTTTACAAGCAATGTATTTCACTTCACTGGCAATAATCATTGTTTAAATTGCCCATTACTTTTATTTTTATCATTTAAAATTTAAACCTTAAACACACTGAAATTTTGAGATCTTGGAATATTTACCTCAGCTAAAGTATGCTTTGGGAGATACAAAATTTGTATCGGTTTTTACTGCATTTTTTGCTTAGAGTTATTTGGGTTACTTAACTCTATTAAATCTATTTCACGCTTGAAGCTTTCGTAAGCTTGAAATAATGGAGTAACAAGGTTATGTAAAGTGCATATGAAGTTATGTAAATGTATTGTAAAATACATACTTTGTATAGACAATAAATCGTTTGCAATACGGTGAATTGTAATTTGATTAAATTCACGCGTGACAATAAAATTTTTCCTAGCGATGCAAACGAATTGCAGAAATTCTTCTATTAAAATAAAATTAAATTAATTCAACAAAGCCATATTTTAACGAATCAGATTAGTTAAATTGACTAAATCAATTGGTAATTAAATCAACTAGATCAACACGTCCATATGTGGCTAATAATGATTTCAAATAAAAAGTTTGTAAATCACACATAACTAAAGAGCACAAGTGCTACAAATATAATAAACTTTGAAGCCATTTCGAATATAGTACACTAATATAATATATTTCTTAAAGGAAGACTGTTTCTCTTAAAAAAGCCATTAATTTTCGATCAATGTAATCCTAGGTGTTGCATGTTGAACATACTAATAGAATATCTTATCAACCCTCTACACGATTTCTTCATATACAAACATTCAAAAATCCCGACCTTGTAGAAGGTTAAGTTCCTCAACGAGACTAAAGCGTCTCTCACAAACATACTAATTCACTCCTTCCCCTTCGTGTCGTACACATGTCGATAAGAAATCGTTTTCCAAACGGGTGTGTGAAGTGGCGAGAGATTAAGCTTCGTTCCTTCTTCCTGGTGGGATACGCTATCGATTAGACGGACGTGTAGGTGCCTAGAACCTCCTGACCTTGACACGAATCACGTTTTTCAGCCGGAGAACTCTCAGGATCACGAACTTTCTCCGAAGATTCCGCAAGACGGGTCGTTTCGTTTTGGGCAGAGGTATATGTGTATACGTGCTTGTGCCCCTTTTCCCGTTATCAGCAATGCCGATCGTGTTCGCATGCTGCGTCGTATATTCCCCGTTATCAAGCGAGCCTTATCTCGCGACATTAACGCAGAGAGGACGTCTCGTCAGCCTTTACGTGTACATGTCCAACCGGTTTACGCTGAAGTTCCCCATGGCGTACGGACTCTCCGCGTTCGTTTTGACCAGAATGAAGCCCCTCGCTGTATGGTCCACTTTGTCGCCGACTAAAATGGCCGGGTACCTTGGGGGGCACAGGCCCAGCAGGTAGTAGGTGAACCCGGGACATTGCCAACCCCAGAAACCCACTTTCGAGTTGATCGACTCTGAGAAGTACATCACCGACCTATGATGGTCGCACTGGAATAGCTTGCCGGACTCCCAGCAGCCTGGCTGATTGATGCCACCGTTCATGTAAAAGTCCACATGACCGCTCATCTCGATTTTCCCCTGTATGAACGCGTTTGTGTGGAACACGTCTACGAATTCCGCGTCGCTAGCGTCCAGTTTAGCATCTTTGTCCACAGTGACGAATAACGGCATGGCTGGATCTAGACCAGTGATCCTAGGGATTCGATAGGGTCTCAGCGCGTTCGCGGCGAACGCAGGCACATGGGCGCCCAGGCTGAAGCCGATCGTGTGTATGTCCGTTGCACCGACGTCCTTTATCCTCTCGATCAACTGGGCCACACAATCGCCCACATGCGGCACGTTCCTCACGACGATGGGGTAGCAGGGTGCAGACGCTAGACGATGCCAATCGACCGAGATCAAGTTGTAATCGTAAGTTTTTAAGTACTCCATCCGCACGTCCACTAGGTAGGATAGTTGCATATCGGAGTCATAGCCGTGTATGAGGATTTTGGTAGGTTTGGATGGGTTGAAATTGGTCGACGGTAGATTCGAGCTGTATTCATCCACCAGAATCTGTTGCCCGGAATGGGGGTTCCTTTGGGTGTAGAGGAAGAACGTCACCTCGTTGTCGGGACACGTTTGGTTGGTGTTCACCAGACAGGGTCCAATGAAGTAGTCTTTAGCTGCTGTGCCTTGGTCGACCGAGTTGCTGATGACGAGCGGCTGATTTTGCATGGCCGCCGAGGTGTGTTGGGCGACAACGAGTATCATCAGCAGAATGGCACGGGCCGCTTCGCGAATAGTCCTGGTGTCCATTCTCGTCGGTTTGCCCGGTTCACCGGGCCACAGCTTAGGAGACCGTGCGATCCCGACGTTAGGGCCGATTTCGCTTGACTGCCGGGACGAAACTACCGAGCGGTCCGCGCGCCGACGGACCGTGAGGGAAACTTCGCGTTGAATCAGCACGTACCGCCTCGACGAGCCCGGAATCCCTAAAGAGGGGCATGCCACACGCGACTTGTCTCTGATTAGGGGTGGGGGCGGAGTGGAGCGAGGTTTGACGTACGGACGTTCGATAAACGCCTCCGACCAGCTCAATTCGCACGGCCTGCCTGCTCTGACGAAGGTCGAACCGATGACGGCGAGGTGCACGCTGCGGGAGAGACGTTGCGCTTGTCGGAGCACAGACTGAATCGCGGTTTTCTATCTCACGACAATGTGGAACGGTACCGATGAAACGGTGCGGTGACGAGAACGATAGCGCGGAACGGCGTGAATGGTATCGATTGTCTCCACGAGTCAGCACCGAGAATGGCCGCCGCATTCTGTCGCAAGATCCCCCTAATATGCTTTGCGACTCCGCCGGTAGAGCAGATTCTCCATTCGTGGGAAGTTCGGCTGTCTTTTCGGCGTTGATGTGTTTGTTTTGGAAATATGTGACATAGGAATGTTATTCGTTTTAAGAGATTATTAAATTAGTTTTAATGACTTATTCATAACAAGCTATGAAATAGTAAACAAAGCGTATTTCATCTTTTTTTATCACCTGCACATTTATTTCAATCATGTTTAATGTAGTAAATCGCATTATAAATTAAATAAAGTATCTAATGTTCTGACACTTATGTTCTAAATGTAAATGGACAAAACTGATTATCATGTCCTATTAGTTTTGACTAATTTATAGTAAAACATGGAACATTTATAATTATTTTATATATTCGCATATTAGTATTCATATAAAAACTAGGATTTCACACACTTCTTTTAACTTCTTTGTCACGTAAAGAACAGATTTAAGTGTGTAGAATCATATGATGAATAAAATTGATTACTTCATTACAATATGTGGATATTTCCATTAAGTTTAAAAATAGCATGATAATCGTCAGATAGACGTTTTCATTCAAATATTATTATTCCAAAGTAGAACGTCTTGCGGAAATCGATGTCATTCAATAAAATTACACGGAGTTATATTGCCACTAAATTTAGCAGTGGGTCAAAAAAGTATTTATATATTCAATTTTTTCGTCATAAGTTTACGAAAAGGAATAACGAAGACCTGAATTTTTTGATACTTCATTCTATACAAAAACAACATTTCTTTTTTATTAACTTTTTGTAGTTAATGAATTACTAGTCAAGAATAATAACAAAGTACATTTGCAAGTTGCTAAAGGTTTATTGACATTGCTCCTTTATTTAGAAAGAATTCCAGTTAAAAGTATAAGAAATATATAGATATAGAAACTAATTTCATACTTCTTCATTTTTCAATTCGAAGTTCATATTTATGTCTCCAGAAAAGAACAAAATTATTGAAAGTAATTAAAAAGGTAGCGTATAAATTTCTACACATTGCATTACATTTTAAAGATATATTTAGTAGAATGACTAAGATGATACTATTGGTTTGTTAATTCTAGATACAGATATACTATCATTTCAAGTAAATATTTTACTGTTCTTTTGATAACATATGACTACTATACATGTGGTTACTGTACAATCTACAAATATATTTTTAACCACTAAGTGTTCTTGTTGTTTTCGATTTTGAACGTATAAAACATGTACAATAAAAAATATAAATAATGAAGTTTTAATTGAGCCACTGATTAAGGATCGCCAACTCCACAAAACAAAAAGTAGACAAAAATAGTAACATACATTGAATTTGAAAATTTTTCTTTATATTAGTTAAGTTATTTAATTAAGAAGTTCTGTTTTTAGGTATGACAACTGTTATTATATGTCAATGTCATTTATCTACTATTTATTATATAAAATAGGCATTAACTTTTATTTTTTAAAATTCGTTTCTTTAAATTTTTTTTTAGTTATGCAAACGATTGTCAATTGCGTTCTTCTATGTAAATTATCACAAGCATTGATAATAACAAACGAAAGTTAATTAAAGTTGTTCTTTGACAATCAATATATACAGTGAATGATATTTTATTTTTAATTACATTGCTTCCTTCCTGCTCTCAATGGATGATCGACAGTGAAATGACATTTGAAATTCTATGACTTGAAAAATTGTTGTCGGAATGGATAATTGATGGCTGTTTGCGCAAGTGGCGCGTGCCGCAGACACTATAAACGTCAAGCTTGAAATCGAGCTTCGGAATTCAATCGAATCTGCACCTGATAAGCATTGTGTAACTAGCGAGAACGTAAATCATATTGATGCACGATTTTCCCGATGCATTTATAAACCTTTTACTTCAAACAATTATACTTATAATATAATTTTTTTATAAAAAGGGAACAATAAGTATATAATAACTATTGCACATATTCTGCAGAGAAATATATTAATACCGAAAAACGTTCTAGCTAAACAAAGTGCAAAATGAACTTTCAAAGCTATTAATTATAATATATCCTCCATTAGAATAATAACAAGAATGATTAAAATAAGGTTTTATCGTTATGATTTCTAAGAATAGTTAATAATATTCAAAGAATATGTCGCTTTTGATTCTCATAAAGATAAATATCTACTGAATTTTGTAAAAAGTACTGAATTGTTATTAGTTTATCTAATAATATACCAATGTCGATTTCCGGATTAAAACGAATTAAATTTTTAAAAGAAAAATGCAAATTATTTATGATAGAACTATAGACGTATACTGCAATTTTACTTAAAGTCAACAGTGTGTCCCATTGTTTTTGTACTAATACAACGTTATACTTTAAATAAGCTTCATCATACGATTTTGCAGTCAGAAATTTATTGCAGAAAGTAGAAAAAGTTTGAGGCTTTTTATATTATTAATCAGAGTCATTAGTCAATGTCTGATTCAGTACATACTTCGAAACGTGTCTTACTTAATTTACACAAAGGTAGAAAAGACAAAGAAGCTATTAATGTTTTTTACATTGAAGGCCAAAGATCACATTTTAATGGTCATCAACCGGTCCTCAGGACAAAATGTCTTCCTATTCCTATATAGTAAGGTGAATGTACTGATTTCTTTAGTACACACGGTTACTTTATAGCTAAGATAACACGTGTCGATCGCGTGATTGATTTATTGACATTCAATAGCACTATGGAGTTCCATATGAATTTACTTCTAGCAGCGAACTCAGTAAACAATGAGTAAGAAAATTTTATTACTACATAAAAATGTCAGTTTCCTGTTATCTCATTCATTATTTTCATTTTTTACTGGACAAGTTTTTACTTATACATTCAACGAAATAAATGAGCACGTTTGAAAATACATAATCTCGATTTTATGTGACCTAAGTCGTTAATAAAAATGTCATATTTAAAAGATGTAAATATAATACAATTTAGATTTGTTAGCATACATATTACACTGTAGTTAAATATATCAATATTGTTAAATAGTCATGTGAATTCGAAAAATAGAAAAGTGTTGCTGAACAGAGTCCACAATAAGTAATAACAGAGTCCATTATACTTAAATAAATACAGAAATCTCAATTTCTGCAATGTATTTAACAATGATAAAAATCTACAAAATTACCCATATATAATTGAGGATTGCCTAAGATGTCGTTCTGTCCGTTTTAAATGATTATTAAAAACGTATAATATAAAATTTTATTATTTTCGACCATTTTTATAGAAGTAGAATACACAAAAATTTTAAATTGAAAAATTAATATTTTAAATTTTTGTAAAAAACACAAATTTTTGACAAAAATTAATTGATTTATTGTTCTAATAGATTTGTGCACTAATAAATGTATTATAAATAAATACCAACTTTATTACTAACATATCGAGGAACTGGATAAAATGTAACATTTGTTTAAAATTAGGTTTATATTAATGTTTCATTTAACTGTGAATTCAAAAATAAATAATGAATATTGTATTTAAATGACCAACTCGGAGAAATACAGCTAGATTCGCTTACAACGCTTTTACAAAATAGTTCACATTGAAAGTGGTGCCACAATTAATAACAGTGTACTGACCTTCCTTTGTCGCCTCGCGGATCGAGTAAATATCTGGGTTAACCGTTCAGACTATGCATACGGTTGACCGTACCACATAACAGCACTATTATTTCAATGAAATCTCTAACTGAAATTAATGACTCTCATTTCAGACACTTTCTCGATTATTTAATCAGTCTTATAAATATTACACATTGTAATATTGTATAATATATATTATATATTGCAATTTCGTTCTTATACATTTTCTTACTGCTAATTAGAATTAGCTTTTATTAAATTAGAGCTGGTCATTATTAAAATTACTTTCAACAAATACTTTTCTAAGATAATTCGTTGAATGACTTCTTGATGATAGAGTATCTTAATCAGATAATAATTATTTGTTATAATTTATTGTATTTATTTATTTCAATGATTTATCGTTATTAATTCACATAATTTATTCGAAATTATATTTCAAATTTGATTACTGTTATAGATTTTATAGATATCAAATAAAGAAACAATTTAACAAATGTTTAAATATTACAACTAAAATGACTTTCAACTTGAAAC